ACACACACACACACACACACACACACACACACACACAGGTGTATGCACACACAAACACATCTGAATTCCATAAAATCATTCAGGCCTTGATGAGGTTCCACACTTTAGATCTCATGCAACAGAGCATAATATTTAAAGTTGCAGTTTCTAGACTGTCCTACATGGATGGCTGAGTAAAATCATTCCCTATTCCTGGCTAAAGGAGGATGCACAGGTGAGGGTGTGCACTTTTCCAGAAGATGGAAACAATTTTGCATTAGAATGTCCTATACCTAATTATTTGTGCGGGCTTTGGAATGGCCAAGATGATAGACAGAAAACAAGTTGCAGAGTGTCTGAGGAACAGGAGGTGCTGAGTGAGTGAATCAAGCCGTTGATCAGCCCTGTGGGAGCAGCTGTTGAAGGCAACCACCCTTAGGCTTCTTTGGTGATTTTTCAAACTAATCTTTTCCTTCACCATCTCTCAATTATAAGGTTCAGTTTGTGCCTTTAAGAAAATTGGGGATTATAGAACAATCTGACTGTACGTGCTCAAGTTATAGCAATGGAACCTGTAGTTGGCTGGCAGGGAAAATATTCTGGGATGCGGATTCAAGTTTCCCAAACAAGGACTACCCAAGTAAAGAGGGCAGGTTTACACCCCTGGAGGTCTGTATAAAGAGAACTCTAGTCTTCAAAGCATCAGATGTCAGGTGGAGGTGAAGACAAAACAAATCAAACTCTCAAGCTGTCATCCTCCTGGCTAAAGATGAGCCCAGTCGTCATGGAGATCTTTGATCACAGAAGACATGCTAGGAAGGCCCATTTACCCAGCACCCTAGCACCTTTGTTGATATCAACAGTTCACAGTTTTTATTCTAACAGAGATTTATTTCAGCAGACTAGCTTCTGCCACCTCTCAGGATGTGGAGAAGTGGCACAAACAAGAAAAGTTTTTTGTGTGTTGAGTTGAGAAGGGAACGCCTAGATCCACATCCCCTCAGCATCTCTGGTAGGAAGTTCTCCGTAGGAGAAAACACCCCAAAGACCCAGAGTGCAAGAGGAAAAGGGAAAGGGAAAGGTAATTTAAAAGAAGGGGCTGGAGGTTTTCAGAATGCAAACCACACAAACAAATGAAGTGTTCGGGTCTCGCACTTGATCTGGGCCCAGTGCGAAAGCTCTCTCAATTCTAAGCCTTAACCTATTACTCCAAAAGAATATGTCCTCCAGTTTTAGGCTTGGCACTGTGGGGAGAACTAGAGTGAGCTATGGTGGGGATATACATATGCATGTACATATATAAACACACACAAATACACACACACATATATATTTGCATTTAGTAATTTTTACAAAATTCCCATTTACTTCTATAGTTCTGTCTGTATCTCAGGGAATAGAAGTAAGAATATTACATCTCCCAGGCTCTCCCTGTCCTCAGGTTTTTGAACATGGCATACATTTTTCTAGTGAAACTTGATATTATGAGACTTGGGAGGTGGAAATTAGGCTGAAGTCATTTCATACTGTGAACACGTTTCACAGACGTGAGTTTGGCAGCAGCCTTGTGTTCCCAAGACATGCCACTCCCTGAGGACTCTAGAGGAGCTGCGACATCAGCAGAGCTTCCTGTGGGTTCCTGACCTTGTGAAGTTAGGGGTCTGCACTGACTCGTGCTCCTCCAGGCTTCCTAACGGTTTTAAGGGATAATTCCCTGGCCGGGCGCGGTGGCTCCCGCCTGTAATCCTTGCTCTCTGGGAGGCCGAGCAGGCAGATCGTTTGAGCTCAGGAGTTCGAGACCAGCCTGAGCAAGAGCGAGACCCCGTCTCTACTAAAAATAGAAAGAAATTAGCTGGACAACTAAAAATATAGAAAAAATTAGCCAGGTATGGTGGTGCATGCCTGTAGTCCCAGCTACTCGGAAGGCTGAGGCAGCAGGATTGCTTGAGCCCAGGAGTTTGAGGTTGCTGTGAGCTAGGCTGACGCCACGACACTCTAGCCCGGGCAACAGAGTGAGACTCTGTCTCAAAAAAAAAAAAAAAAAAAGGGAATAATTCCCTGTAACAGGTTCAATCCTGTCTAGAGTGTCTACAGGGATTTCTATTTCCTGTTTGAACTCTGACTGGTACAGTGGCTCCTCTCCATTTGATATCACCAGGAAGACCTCATTCAGGCACCTTCAGAAATTCCCTCAAACACACAGGAAGTTAGAGTTTGGGAGAGAACAGGGAACCATGAGTCGTGTCCAGATAGAAACTTCTCTCCTGTTACAGAGAAAGGGAACTGAAAGTCTTTTCTAAAGTCTTCCAAATTTAGTAATCTCACCAGGAGAGCCAATCAGTGTTTTAGGACTAAACAATATCATAAGTTACTGAGCAACACCTTGGGTTGAAGATGCTATTATGACATGTAAAATGTCTTTGCGTTTCCCATTTGTTTATTAAGCACTTTTTAAGAACAAGGCATTATAGTAGCCAGCAAAGGGTAGACACAGAAAAATTGCACATGGTTTTGCCTCTGAAAGAGATGACAAGCCTAAATCACAGGATCAGACTCTCAGCACGGACCGATACTGTAGAACTCTCATCTGGCCCATTCTCTGGCCTCCAGAAAATGTATTCCTGAAAAATTTTGAGACAGAATTGTGCTGTGGGCTTCCTCTTAGTGATCTAGGAGTTGTTGTCAGAGGATGTTCGGAGCCCTTAGATGTGATCAGATAATCAATAACGTGTAGGGTGTGCGCCCTCATAATTCGTGAGGACAGCTGCACTTCAGGGTAAGACCTCGGCACGACAGTGTGGCAGATCCACCCTCAGTAGATGTGTTATGCCTGACACTGAACGATAGACTCACCATCTGACGTGAGTCCATCACATCCCTCACTGCCAAGCCACTCTTCATTGGAGGTATTTGGGTTGCCGTCTTTTCCATGTGTGGTTTAACATTTTCCTTTCTATTGCACTGTATTTTCAGAAACATGAGAGTCAGAGTCTCTTAACTTTCTGGATTCTCTATGGTGAACATCAAAATACATTCTTTGGATCAGAACTTTAGTAATCGTGTGACAAGAGAAAAATTTTCCTAATCCTATGACATGAGGGAAGGAATAGCAAAGCCCTCCTGTGGATTATCACCCTTAGTGTTCCTGCTAAAACAAGCTCTGCCCAATTTACTTTGCCACACCCATTGACCCGAGTCTTCAAATGAGGAGTCAACTCCAATCTCTGGTCATATTTAAGATGGTAGGGATTAGGAGAACGTACTCCCTTTACAGCCCACTGTTTCCACTAACCACTACCTGTGTTGCAAGGTTTAGCTTCGCATCCTTCTCCAGCTTTGGGAGTACTGAAACTCAGTGTCTCCTCCCACGTTCTCCAAGTACAGCACAATGCCAGCGATCCCAAGCTCTTGGGCCGAGTTGGTCATCTTGGGGTCCAGGACACTGGGGAAGCATGAAGCAATAAGGAGCTTCTTCTCCACGGGGACTGACAGTCTGCTTTCTGTTTAGATTATTTGTTGTCCCTTCAATAAACTCCCCAGTTGTCACAGCACAGAGGCATGAGCAGTATTCAGCTCTCACTTTAGGGCGTTTCCGCTGATTCTATCCTCACTAATGTACTTCAGGTATATCCCTTTCTAGAACTTGGATTGGGATAGAAGAGTCTGTGAGTGATTGACCAGCATTCTCAAAAGCTTGATTTTTTGGTCTGGTTTTTTTTTGTTGTTGTTCTATTTGTTTGATTAAGAACTTTACTTTTTAATCTAATGAACTAAGAGAGTATCTTCTGTCCTGGATAGTTTAGAAGAGCTCTTCCCCTAGCAACAGAGGTGTCATCTCAAAAGATTTTTCTGATTGGCTGAAGCTTGACTGATTTGAATTTTAATCATGTCAGACTCTATCACACCCCACATTCTCTTTCCTTTCATTCTTATTTATTCTGCCTCACTCCTGAGCTCTACTAACCCCCATCAAAGCACCCAAGAAGAAAATGGCCGTAAGTGGAGTCCCTATTCTAGGATTTCTCATCATGGCTGTCCTGATGAGCCCTCAGGAATCCTGGGCTATCAAAGGTAGGTGCTGGGAGAATCCAATCTGGGGATGATAGACTATGAAGCTTTTGAGAAATGAACTGAAAACATTTGCAAGACAATCTCTGGAGTGAAAGAAAAGTGCGACAGGCATCATGTGTGTGTAAGTTTGAAAGTATAATAAATTGTAGTTTGGAGGAGTGCTTCCCTCACTGCAAACTGAAGTAAGTTAAATTTAGTTTGGAGGAACAAAACTGAGCTGTAAATTGATTATTGCCACTGACTCGATATTAAATATAAGGCAAACTTGGGGGCATTATTATCGGACAGGCATTAACAAGTTACATCTCTGGGCTTTAATTTTAATTTTTCTTTCTGGAAAATTAGTAAAATTAAAAATTAAAAACCTCACATAATTTTGTTAGAATTAAATGAAAAACATATGAGAAGTTCTTAGCACTATCCTTAGCTAAATAGATGGTACAGTTGTTATTTTTTGGCATGTAAACCCTGACAGCATACTTTGAGCACAGACACCGTATTGAAGATGATTAGAAAGAAAAGTCACCAAAGAGCAGCAATTGACCCGAGGGAGGTGGGAGTGCAGGCATGCTGATATGAGTCACATTTAATTTACTGCCTCCTGGGACAGTGCTAGCCATCCCTCCACCCGCCCCCCTCAACCCTGTGCTACAATAGATCTTACATGGCCTTATTTAGTAGTATTTTCAAGAGAGTAGAAAAATGAATAAGGAAGTAGGGAGCCTGGTATCATTCTCTGCCATCCCCAGAGCAAACATCTGTGCTGTTGTAAAGACGTATTGTGAAAAAGTGTTCTCCACCCAGAGTGACCCCCACAGAAGGTGTCAGATAGACCGAAAATAAGCAAAATAATAACCTAGGTCCCAGACCCATAGTGGCAATTATAGGTTTCTACTGCCCAGAAAGAGCCATATATGGGGATGCCCACCTGGAAAGATAGAGGTTCTTCCTTGATTTGGAAAGGGGTAGCTAGAACATGTGTGTGTGTGTGTATGTGTGTGCATAGATTCAAATGCTAAATAAATCCCTAGATTTATCAATACACAGTCAAAGTTTAAGATCTCTCACCTTATCTTTGAAGACTAAAGAGGGAAACAATCTCCCTATCATCTCCACACATCATGGAGGTAGCATACTCTCCAAGTGTAGCTTTTCTCGTTCAAGTTGATTATTCCCTTGGTGTTGGCTATTTTCAGTATCAACCACAATAGAATATGTTCCATGATAACAATCTCGATTTAAGGAGCATTAAGATAAAAGGTCAAGTTGCCAAGGTCGATCCAAACATGATTCTCCTCACAGAGGTATCCACAATGTGGATTTGGATCCAGGGAAGTAGGTGCTCTACAACATTGCAAGGATTCAGTCTTAATTTCCTGGGTCCCTCAGGCCCCAGGAAATTCAAAAATCCATATTTTGTATGGGGATTTGGTCTTTAAATACAAAGCAGTTTCTACCTAAACTGTGAACACTGCTTGTTATAGGCTTGTTGATATACTTAGAAATTACTTACCTTATCTCATTGGATCTTAAAAACAAACCCATGACAGAATATGACAGAATCAAAACCACAACAGAACTATGTAATAAGAAAACTACACATATGTAGGTAGAATAATCTGCTCAAGATCGCTAGATAAGTAGCTGAGTAAGAATTTAAGATTTTATGTGATTCCAGAGTTCAAATCCCAACCTTTCAAACAGTGTTTCTTTCTTCTTAAGAGTACAATGTTCTGAGATGCTCTGGAATTCTGGCCTGAGTATATTTAATGCCTGGGTAAAGAGAGTGAGAGAACATTTCTCTTTTAGGAGCTGCTGCTGGATTTCTAAAAAGAAAATCATTTCCCAGCTAGTAACATGGAGACAAACAACAGCTTGACAAGACTGGGTTTTCAGCCCTCGTCTCCTTTCAGTCTACCTTCTCGAACAGACCCCCCACTGCTCCCCCCACCCCCAGGATGATGTCCCCTGCCCAGACCTCGTCTTTCACTCCCCTACTCTCAATCACCCTCCATTCCACTTGGCCCAGTCTCTCTCCTTCAGCTCCTGTCGACTATACGTGGGTTCTTCTCCATCTCCCCCTCCTGACTGCCCCCTTTCCTGCCTTTTCAGAGGAACATGTGATCATCCAGGCTGAGTTCTATCTGGCCCCTGACCAATCAGGAGAGTTTATGTTTGACTTTGATGGCGATGAGATTTTCCATGTGGACATGGACAAGAAGGAGACGATCTGGCGGCTTGAAGAATTTGGACGATTTGCCAGCTTTGAGGCTCAGGGTGCATTGGCCAATATAGCTGTGGGCAAAGCCAACCTGGAAATCATGATGAAGCGCTCTAACAACACCCCGGACACCAATGGTAACTGTCTCTCTGCTGCGCTCCTGGATGTGGGTATCCATGGCTTTAAAATAGATGCTTAAGCCCTTTGTGTAGTATTACTGTGACTGACTTTTCCTCCCAGGGGCTTAACCTTGCTGTAAACAAGCCCAAAACTTTCACGCCACAGACCCAAGAACTTTATGGGTTTGTTCCGTTCTTGATGTGCTCAAATCTTGTCTCTGTCATCCATGGTCACTCACAGGCATTTCGCTGAGTCCATGCTGGGGGAGCCAGGAGCAATATTGGCTCCAGTTCATGGGAGAGGGTATCAGAGATAGGCCTCTGAGAATGTGGCATAGACTTTTCAGGGCACAATCTCAACTGTTTTTTGGCATTAGAGTCTTTAAATAGGTTTGTACCACAATTCAGGGTGGAGGGAGAGGCGCAGGTCTAAGCGGTGAAGACTAATTTCTGTCCTGTGTCCCCCCAGTGCCTCCAGAGGTAACTGTGCTCACAAGCACTCCTGTGGAACTGGGAGAGCCCAACGTCCTCATCTGTTTCATTGACAAGTTCTCCCCACCGGTGGTCAAGGCCACATGGCTTCGAAATGGAAAACCTGTCACCACAGGAGTGTCAGAGACAGTCTTCCTGCCCAGGGAAGACCACCTTTTCCGCAAGTTCCACTATCTGCCCTTCCTGCCCTCAACTGAAGACTTCTATGACTGCAAAGTGGAGCACTTGGGCTTGGATGAGCCTCTTCTCAAGCACTGGGGTATGGACCATCCTTCAATCTACTTTATGTTAAGGTTTCCTCCTGTGATGCTTGTGTCTGGACCTTTGGAACACAGAGTGTCCTGTTTGACAACATCCGCTGCAACTCACATACCTGCCTTCTCCCATTACTCCGCTTCCTCCACTTTTTAATCTGCAATTCCTTCAATACATCACTCTGTCTTCCTCTTCTTTAATCTATTAACATTCTCTTGACTAAGTACCCCACATTTTGCCCCAAGTATTACTCCCTACCTCATTCATTACCATGTACTCTGTCTTATTTTTCCCCAGAGTTTGATGTGCCAACCCCGCTCCCAGAGACTACAGAGAATGTGGTGTGCGCCCTCGGCCTGGTTGTGGGTCTGGTGGGCATCATTGCTGGCACCATCTTTATCATCAAGGGCGTGCGCAAAGGCAATGCCACAGAACGCCGGGGCCCTCTGTGAGGCACGTGGAGGTGGGTTAGGTGTGGTCAGAGGAAGACGTATCTGGAGGTATCTGAGGGAGGAAAACAGAGTGGGTGGGGAAAAGGAAGGAAGGACATGTGATGCCTTTAAGAGAAAGGGTAGGAACAGACGAGGCTCTTGATTTCTGTTTGTTAGAACGAATCAGACATGGCATCATCTGGTATCCCAAAGCTTCAGGGTCTCTCAGCCCTTTCCATAGATGTGCACCTATACCACACCTTCAGTCTTGCAAATCCTTTCCAGTACCTAAGACCACCGTTTCACATTAGGATACTGAGTCCAGCGATCTAGGAGAATAAGCCTTGGGCAGTTCCTGGCTTGTATTTCCTGAGGCTGTCTGTTCAGAAGCATTTCCGGAGCCTGGCTCCTTTGGGGTTAGGGTAGATTCATGGCATGAAATGGAAATCTCTTAGAGGCCAATGCTTGGTTTTGCTCCTCCAGTCTGAAAAGTGCTATTGGAAGCTCTAAGAAAAGGTAAAGCCTGGTTGCTTATTCATGTTCACTTGGAGAGTAGGGCATACATTTCATGTTAGAAAGCTCAGATCAATATTAAAAACTTTTCCAAAGTCAAAGGATTAAAAGAGAAGAGAAAGTAATTTGAAGGGAAGAGCTCAAAATATTCATCTTAAACTCTTTAGCAACTATGTGCATCCTGTTACAGGTGGTGGCCTTTCTCAGAGAGAAGACCACTGAAGAAATTTCTGCTTCAATAGCTGACAATAAAAGCTGGCAATACTCCAATCGTTGACCTCAGTGAAAACAGCCATCTTCAGCATTTTCCAGGCCTTTAGCCACCCCAGAGTGGTGACACCTTCCCCTATCTCTCCATACTCCATACCCAGTTGGCTTCTCCGTCTGTTGCCCTTTCCTGTATCTGTTTTCCTTCTATTTCCCATCATTTTATTATCACCATTCAACCCCTCTGGAATAAACCCCATAGGCTTCTTTCTCTGCTATGGAATGTTCTTAACATTCCATGAGGGTATCTCCTCTTATTGCTTCAGGGTTCTTCAAACTGTGATTTTTCTGAATACAATAAACTATTTTTAAGGGTCTTAGATGTATTATTTTGTTGTTTGAGCCAGTTCTTTGTCGGGGGAGGGAGAGGATGGGGAATTTATGTGATCCTTCCATCCTGAAATGTCTGAATGTTGAATGTATCTTATAAGCTCTGGAATTAATTAGAAATATCCAAGTTCAGTAGGGCTCAGTAGCAACTGCAGGCACCCCTGTTGCTGTGGTCTAGTCCTCATCAGGAAAACCTTAAAGTTCGTTTGTTGGGAGATCCCTGCTGAGCAATGGGTCCAGAATCCGGTTTTGGTTCTTGAGCCTGCAAGTCAATGACATATCTGTATCTTCAGCCAAGTGAGTCTCAAACCCCAGGTTTTGGCCTCTGAGAATGGGTGAGACAGATGGAGGGGAGCGGATGGGGGCAGAGTGGGGAGCAGAACAAGAGCCTCCACATACATTTTAGGATTTGCATATCAACATCACCCACCCCAGACTTAGTGAGGAATGACACTGGACACTGAAGGTTGGCATTGCCCATTCTAAAAGACGTGGTTACAGATGCCTGTTTCATTCCCAGGGGAATAGTCTGACTCATTCTTGGAACCATCTTCTTACCATCTTATATTTGGAGATGTGTTTTTGAGGGGAAAAAGTGAGTAAGTGGAAAGGGAGGCAGGATATGGCATTAAAATGAGAGGAAAATAAGTGAAACACAGTGAGCTATTGCTCATTTGTAAAACTATTTCTAAAATGGTTACCAGAACCTACCACAAATCATAAAGATTAACTATCCATGACAGTGCAGTAGACACTGCAAATAAGTGCTGTTGAAATGAGTTAGACTTGGGTTTCATCTTGGCTCTATCATTGACTAGCTATGTATTCATTGGTGTCTTACTTAATTTAGCCTCAGATTCCTCATGAAAATACTGACGTTAATTTTTACAGCATTGAGTTATTATCAGAATTAAAGGAAAAATGTAAGCAAAGTAATTAGGCAATATGCTTAGTGATAATAAAATATTGCAAAAATTATACATTCCATTGTTTTCTTCAAAATTTCTACAGCTTGATGATAAAAATCTAAGAGAAGCAAAACAAAACAAACACAATCCAAGGCAGTATGATGCTATAAGACTTACTGGTAAATAACAAGATTCTCTATCTATGGCTTAGAGCTGTGATCCCCAACCCACAGGTCACAGACTGATATCTGTCCGTGGCCTGTTAGGAACCTGGCCATGCAGCAGGAGGTGAGTGGCGGTCGAGGGAGCGAAGCTTCATCTGTATTTACAGCCGTTCCCCATCACTTGCATCACCGCCTGAGCTCCGCCTCCTGTCCCATTCTCCCCTCCCCACACCCACCATCCATGGAAAAATTGTCTTCCATGAAACCAGTCCCTGGTCCCAAAATGTTTAGGGACTGCTGGTTTAGAGGATCAAAGCAGAATCTTGAGACTATTGAATGTAGGATAGGCACAAGTGTTCTTTTTAGATGTCTACAATTCTTATTATAAAGCAAACAATAGAGAATACACTAAAACTCAGACAAGCATGGGATAAAAAAAGCAAAAATTAAACCCATATTCTCCCATATAAGAAAACCATTTTTTAAATAGATTGATTTTCTGGGGCAGTTTTAAGTTTACAGAAAAATTGCAGAGAAATTGCAGAGTTTCCATGTACCTCCTTCCCTAAAACCACCCGCCAGCCAGTTTCTCCTATTATTAACATTCTGCATTAGTATTGTACACTTGTTCCAATTGATAACCAGTACTGATATTATTATTAACATTAACTAAAGTCCATGGTTATATTAGGGTTCACTCTGTATTATACAGTTCTATGTGTTCTGACAAATATTTAATACATAATGTCAGATATTCACCATTACAGTAAAATACTTTCGCTGACCTAAAAATGCCCCATGCTCCACCTATTCATCCCTCCCTCCTCCCCCAGACCCCTGGCAATCACTGATCTACTTACTGTCTCTGTCGTTTTGCCTTTTCCAGAATGTCATATAATTGTAATCATATAGTATGTAGCTTTTTCAGAAGCTTAGCAATATGCATTTAGGTTTCACTTAGCAATATGCATTTAGGTTTCCTTCATGTCTTTTCATGGCTTGATCGCCTATTTCTCCTTAATGTTGAGTAATACTCCATTGTATGGATGTGTCAGTTTGTTTATCCGCTCACCTACTGAAGGATATCTTGGTTGCTTCCAATTTTTGACAGTTATGAATAAAGCTGTTATCAACATTCATTTACAGGTTTTTGTGTGGACATAAGTTTTCTACTCATTTGGCTAAATTCTTAGGAGTGCAATTGCTGGATCATCTGGTAAGAGTGTGTTTAGCTTTGTAAGAAACTGTCGGAATGTCTTCCAAAGTGGCTGCACTGTTTGCATTCCCACCAGCAATGAATGGGAGTCCCTGTTGTTCTACATCCTCACCAGCATTTGGTGCTGTGAGAGTTTTAGATTTCAGCCAGAAAGCCACTTTTTAGAAACTTTTTACTTTGAAATAATTATAGATCCACAGGAAATCGTAAAGACAGTATCGAGAGTTTCTGCACGCTCCTTTACTCAGTTTCTTCAAATGTTTATAACTTAAGTAACTATAGCACAATATTGAAATCAGGAAACTGATACTGGTACAATATGTGTGTGCAGTTCTGTGCCTATGTTTTATCACGTTTGCAGATTTGCGTAACCACCACTGCAATCAAGTGCAAAACTATGTCGTTGCCACAGAGATCCCCTTGTGCTACCCTTTATAGTCACGACCTCCTCTCCCCACATCATCGCCCTAACATCTGACAACCACTAACCTCTTCTCCGTCTCTGTAACAGCATTCACTTTGAAAACGTTAGATAAATGGAATCATACAGTATGTGACATTTTGAAACTGGCATTCTCACTCAGCAAAATACCCTTAAGATCCATCCAAGCTGTTGCATGTATCAACAATTTGTTCTTTTTTATTGCTGAGTAGTATTCCATGGTGTGGATGTACACCATTTGTTTAACAATTTGCCTATTGAAGGACTTTTGACTGTTTCTAATTTGAGGCTACTACAAATAAAGCTGTTATGAACATAACAGCTTTAAATATAAGGTTTTTGTATGAACACGAGTTTTCATTTCTCTGATAGAAATGTCCTGGAATATAATTGCTGGGTCATGTGTCAAATATATGTTTGGTTTTTCAAGAAACTGCTAAACTATTTTACATTCCCACCATGAGTGTATGAGAAATCCAGTTTTCCTGCATTCTCACCAGCATTTACCAATGTCAGTATTTTTTATTTTAGCTGCTTTAATAGGTTTGCAGTGATATTTCATTGTGTTCTTAATATGCATTTCCCCAGTGGATAGTGACTGCACATCATTCAGTGGGCTTATTTGCCATCTATCTATATGAGAAAATGTCTCTTCATGTCTTTTGCCCATTTTGTAATTAGATTTTTTTTTACTGTGCAGTTTCAATAGTCCTTTATATGTTCTAGAATATAATGTGTTCTTTGTGATATATGTGGTTCGTAAATATTTTCTTATTGTCTATAGCTTATCTTTCATTTCTTAACATGATACTTTACAAAAGTTTTCAATTTGATAAAGCCCAGTTTATTTCTGTTCTTCTTTTTTAGTTAGTACTTTTGGTGTCTGTGTAAGAACTCTTCACTAAGTCCTAGCTCCTGAAGACTTTTCTCATATGTTTTCTTTTAAAAGTTTCACATTTAAACTTATGATTTATCTGGGGGCAAATTTTTGTATAAGGCGTGAGAATTCGTTAAGTTTATTTGTTCTTTTTTCTTTTTACTTTTTTTGTTTGTTTCGATTTTGGTTTTGCTTATGGATAGACTTGCTCCAGCACCATTGTTTGAAAAGACTATACTTCCTCCCTTGAATTTCTTTGCATCTTTGTCAAAAATGAGCTGG